AAGCATCTCAAGGCCAACCCTGGCATTCCTCTTGTAACTCACTGCTTTTCAAATGGAGGTGCAGTTGTGGTTGATAGGATCAACCAAATCATTGCAGCAGACACTGAAAATGAATCTATTTCCTTGGTGAGGGAACATTTGAAGCTTCAAGTCTTTGACTCTGGACCTGTCTTTCCAAAAGGAAGCAGCGTCCTAACTGCTGTTGATGAAGGAATTTCCAATCCAATTGCTAAGAATGTGTTGAAGGTTTGTGTTTCATCTGCTGACAGCATAGGCTTACTTTCTGGAGGAGAGTCTTCAAAGGGTACCAAGTTTTGGAGACGAATGAAAGAAACCAGGCTTGAGAGCTGCCGTCCAGCCCAAGCGTATGTCTACAGCTTGGAAGATAACATTTGTGACATTGATGATTTAAAGGATCTTATCTCTTACCGCAAGGAATTGTCTCCATGCTCAAGAATCTCAGTGTTGGAATTCAAGACTGGTGTTCACTGCAACCTTCTTCGAGAGCATGAAAGTATGTACTGTGAGTTTGTCAAGGGATTGGTGAAGAACATTCAAATGGCATCATAAATCCAACGCCATCCCGGCCAGTGCCCTACAGAAGCGTGAGACTCCAGCAATGAGAAGATAAAGGAATAGAATAGAATACAGTGACTACTTGCATAGACTTGTGATGATGCATTGCTCAAGCGTATTCTTGAAGCTAGCTGGCATGACGCTGCTGGTGTTGAAGGCTACCCATGCCTATACCGTACTAATACATCACAAAGCCACCTGTGGACAAAAACGGTTTGAAACTGAACACATATGATGGCAGTTTTGCAATCTAGACTAAATTGCTGTACCAGGCAGGCAAGCCTAAAGGGAAGCCAACAAAGTTCGGGCAACTGCATCTAGATCCAGACTGCTACTTTCTTTTATCAGGGCACAATCGAGTTGCTTGTGATTTGTTCTTTGGAATCGTTCAAGAGCTTTTCTTTAAAATAATAGGAATTTAATTCTCACCAGTAGTCTCGGATAGCACAACACCCTTCGAAAAGCAAGACCATTGTCAACGTCTTGCTGTGCTTCTGCTCTCAGTCTCGACAGGCATTGCCGTCCAATTCAAATGTTCCAATCCACCACCCTCGTCTGCCTGTCGTAATCCCCCCCAACAAGCAGCGTTTGCCAACCCAACCCCCTGCCTTGGCAACCTTTCGACTTGTTTCGTTGCGTATGTTGCATTACATACCACGTCCCAACAGTCGATTCTTTTTGCGCGGCACTGCGGCCATGGTACTGCTGGCGGGCGTAACGAACGATGCTCCGCCCACACTGCTTCCCGTGCCCGCCTGCAACCGCAGCAAGACGTGCAAAGACGAACTGCTCGTGTAATCCGTCAGGAATTGGGCGTCATCCAAGGGAACCCCGTCCAATATGAGGATTTGCTTTTTAAAGGGAATATCTTCCTGTTCTTCAATCATCTTCTTGAGACGATCGACCGTATCGGTTGCCTTGGCGGCAATGTTGATGGTGAATCCCATGATGGTATTGACGAAAACGTCAATGGGCGGCGGTGGAGGTGGTGGTGGTGGAGCCGGTTGCTTCTTGGGACGAGGCCGTGAGGGCAGTGTGGATTCGTGTTCCAAGGAGGACACGTCACCGGTACTTTGCTGGCTATTGTGATTCTGAATCTTGAGTTTGTTGAGTAATGCTTGCTGCCGACGGCGTGGATCGGGATACTGCTGTTGGGAGGGGGACGTCATGAACGAGTCGTGATCCGAAGAGGCATACGACGTGGGTGAGGGTGGCTGCTGTCGGGGAGGCTTGGGCGGTCGATTGGGATTGCTATTCGTTGTTGTGATTGGCACGGGCCGGGAAGTGGAAGATCTGCCACGACGTTTGGGTCGGATATCATCGAGATGGTCATCTCGTTCTTCTTCGTCCAAAGAATCACGATGATGGTGGTGGTGGCGGTGGTGGTCTTCAAGGTCATGATCCGTGGTTGCAGTTTGTGACTCTTCCATGACATGTTGTTGTTTGCTGCCAGACATTAAGCTTTCCGTGTGAATTGATGGATGCGAGGGGATGCTTCGGAGCTTGGATAGCACGAGAGTAGCATCCGTGGGTATCCCGTACTGTGCAATAGTTCGTTGCTCCTCAAGTTCGATTCCATCCCATTCCAGGTACTGCTTTGCTGGTGCAATGCCCAGCTTTCGTTGTATCCTGGACTTGATGTGTAGGATAGTTTCGGAGGGGTATACGGAAAACTTGGACACTTTTCCAGCTCGATAAATGTACAGATGTCGTTTGTTTTCAGTCGTTTCAACTACTAGTTGTTGTTGCTGTTTTGACTGCTTATGATGTGATTGTTGTTGCTGTTGTTGTTGATGTTGCTGTTGGGAATGTTGCTTTTGTGCCTTGGAGGGAGACAACGTCCTGGTCGGCTTGGGGTGGTTGTTTCCACTGTGGCTCCGTGTTCGCTGGTCTTTGCGAAGATTTCTCGGTTTGGACGATCGCGGAGAAGGGGGCATTTGTATTTCCCGCTCTTGATCTTCGTTGATATCTTCGAGCAAATGGTGATGCCCATCGTCGTCATGATGATCTCCATCATCATCCTCTTCGTCGTCGTCCGAGAGTTCGGAACTATTACTCGTTCCAGTTTGTTCTGGCCCCTCCTCAATAAGATTGTAATCCCAAATTCCCTTGGCGTCACTGGAGAGTGTACTGCCCGCAAACATCATGCACAGTGATGCCTTGGTCAATTCCATTCTCTTTTCTCGTATCGTGTGACTCACGTTGATGGCGGCATCGGCATTGTAATGAAGAACTTGATTGGATTGCAGCAGCATTTGACAATCCCCATAGTATTGTTGCGTCGAGAGAATGTGTTGCTTCCACATGGCATCCAGAAAGACGGGAGCCAACACGATGGTGTCATGAATGTCTCGTGTCGCCACCTTGAGGGCCAAGAACCGTTGGTACTCGCGCAATATCCGATCGACGTGCCGAGAACTCCACGTGGGATAGACTCGTAGACAGCGCTCTTTCAAGGGCTTCCAGTCCATCTCGTGCTGCATCTTCGACAAGGCTCGTTCGCCCAGCTCCGTGTTAATGGAGGGCATTCTCGTGGCTCACTGGTCGAGTCGCAGTAATATACCCAAACCAATAGCAATGGGTATATACCCGCACACCTCCTATCTATTATCTACAGCTCTCAGTATCACTACTATCAGTGGCCCAGATCTCACTAGTATTCCCCCAGTGTTTAGTATCGGCCGCTCGTAGGTGTTCTCCTGGTTCATTGCCGGTGGGGGTCGATCGGAAAGCCTACGGTACGGTGCCAAAACCTTGCAAGGGCTGATCAGAGGGGCGCTGTGTTCCTCCATCCGGTCCATTGGCGAAACAAAAATGTGAGAATGCGATAGATGACTTGAGTCACGAAGCTAACTTGATAGCATGACTAATTTTCTACTCCTAAGTAACCTTATCGTCGGCGATGCAAGTGGGGGGATGTACTTGCAAAATAGAGTGTTCTTCACATCTTTGCGAGGCGTTTACCGGCTCTTTTTCTGTGCCCGTCATTTTAAAATAAAGGATGCCGCATGGCTAATAAAGCCATACTAGCGGTAGACGACGGTGGTTACCGGTATTCCTTCTCATCTGCTACCAGGTACCGAATTATGTTTTTTAATCCGTCCTAATGAATTCCATTCAATCGTTGCTTTCTAGCCAGAATAAACCGATCCAGCAGCCTCACCAAGTGGGATGGAACAGCTGATGGAACCCAGTGTCAGCGTCAATTTCAATCGATACATGCAGTCATGCAGTACGGCAAACGATCTTACGGTACACCCGAAGCCTTGTGGAGTATCCGTATCATCCCTTATAAAACTTTACAGCATGGTCAAACATCTCCTAAAAAGTTTTCCAACATGGATGCTTTGTGCTGAATTAGAAAAACGACTTGCAATGAAAGAGAGGTGATCCCTCGCGGACCTCTATCACAAATAAATCTTCTGTTCCAACCTATAGTGCTGAATCCAATGGCGGCGTCTGGGTGACTTGTGCGAGGTAAAATTCCTGGTGCAACGAAATAAAGATGTCAACAGCAAAGAAATGACGCTCTCTCGGTCCTTGTGGCAGTATATGACAGATTCTCTACTCTATTCAGTTGATTCAAAGCAAGTTAGTTGCTACGGTAGAGTTGTCCTTACCATGTTGGTTGGTTCGCAGTTTGTTGGCCCGAGTGAGAAAGATTTTTCCAATTCATATCTCCTCTGCAAGACAAGATCCAAACTTTGAAGAAGTCGCTGATTTGCAGCCTCCACTGTTGGCACCATGTATATGGAATCTAGACGACCTTCAAATTGAAAACCCGTTTCAAATTTGCTCCCAATTTTGGTAGGTAACATCTTCTTCAGCATACTCAAGACCACATTGAACATGACCCCACCATTGTAATGCTTTTGAGCTTGATACTGTAGAGGATATGTCCATGCTATCTCCAGCCATAGTTTTTGAATCATGTGAATGTCCAAATGCTGAGTCCAGTCATATCCATCACATTCACACACAATTATCCCTCCCTTTCGTATCAGTTCAAAGTCAACACTCATGGCATGATGCATATAGTATTCACCAGCATTGAAAGTGGTGAACATTTCAGTCCTTGTCATTTTCTCCATGGAAATCTTGGTCATATCAAATGCAAAAGAATAGTTCCCATCATCAGGGTTAAAACTGTAGGACAAGTAGACTTCTGGGAATAGCTTGATGAGTTTTGCCACTGCCCGCCTGCTGTCATTCAGAGTGTCCAATATGTCATTGTCTTGGCGAAACTCCTGAAGTCGAAGAGCACTCTCCACAGCAGCTTCTGTGTCTCCATGGAAATAGATAGCCAGATGGGCACACATGAAATCTGAAATTAGGTTAATGTCATCGTGGGCCTTGACAGCTTCTTTGATGTTTTGTGCCCATTGATGCTCTTGAATTGTCAAATGCATCCGCGCGGGATCATCCATACGAAATGGTGGTCCTTGTGGTGACGGTGGGTCATCATCGCCTGGTCCAAGTTGTTGCGCTTCAACGATATTATTGTTGTTGTTGTTGTTCCTGTTTCTGACATCCCCCACTGCTTGTTCTTGACCACCCTCCTGCGGCTGGTTACCTACCGCCACAGGTCCAACTTCTATGGCTTGTTGGTCGTCTCCATTATTTTGAAAGTAAGGATCCATTAGACAATTACCGGTACCAGGTGGGACCAACGGTGTCGGCGACCTCAACATGGTGTGGTTTTGGTGGCCTTGTCAACAAATCCGGTGTGGACAATCTGCAGAGCTGCTTACTACATGCATCCGACGTTTTGTTTTTCTTTCAGCCCACACCAACTAACTAAAGCATACCAGTGAGGTAACAAACAAACACCAAAAGCTGGGAGGGCATTGTTGGATTGGGAAAAGTCCGGCATCCAACAGAGTGGTGCAGCCACACCATTCGGAAGGCTCCCTGGCCTGGTTGCTATACCAACAAGGTACCGTGCCGCACAGTACACTAGATAGACCAGTTCCTCATGGTTCCAGTAAGATTTTTCGCAGTCATAGTGGTAATCAGTTCAACCCATTTGCCAGACATCTACTTTGCATTGCTAGCTAGCTAGGAGTACCTAAGATGTCCCAAGATAAGCTAGCTACAAAAAGGAACACTCCTTTGAATTATTTGTTAACTAAAAATCGCTACCGTCAAGGCTTGTTTACATACATGTACTCGAGACTAAAGATTTCCGTAGGGAATCAAAACTTGGGAATCAAAACTTGTGAGCTGGATGGCTTCTCAAGCCCCAAGACCAGTCGCGGCGCGAAAACCTTTTGGAGCGTTTCGGCGTTTCTCATCAGGCCTTTTAGTCCCGCCCCAACCACCCGGTTCACGCGGTAATTGTTTCCCATGTCCACTGTCGAGTAATGCAATAAACATTCACTTGGTTGAATATGTTACCCCAACTTCTACACTTCACTTCCAAGGGAGCATGGCGTTCACACTTGCTGCGATTGAATTCGATTCGATTCTGCTCAGAGGGTGCCTCGGAGTGGGGAAGTTATCTTTCTAACGGAGCCATCCATCGTACTTTGGCCGGACTGTCAGTCACTCTGTTGCATGCGGCAAAATAAAGACCAGCACTCCGAGAAGACGGTCAAGAGGTGACGGGTAGATCACATCATAAAACCATCGACAGCCACAGCAGGCCAAGCAAGTCTACTAGCTAGTCGCTACTACTGCATAGTATACGAGCATCCATTGCAATGCCAACCATTCTGATAACTACGAGCCCAGAGGAGTTCCTCCTCGATCGCCCATGCCCTACACTCTTTCCTTGTCACCTACGGCAATGGTGCATCAAGGCAGAAAGAATAGCTACGGATCTAGATGATATCAGCGTACGAAGCCACACAGTGGAACTTGTAGGCGAAAGAGCCATGGCGGCACACGAAGAATCATCCGATGATGAAGAAGAAATGTGCACCATCATCCGGGATAACTTTGTAGGGTTTATTACTAGTTGCGAGCTTCGAATGAATGGGTGGGACCAGCACAAGAAACGAAGAAGAAGACACAACAACCGCCGCAACAGCATGGCAAGTACATGCACCGTACAATCAGCAGGGACAATTGCCACACTCACATCATGCGGCGCGCACTCATAGATAGATAGATAGAAAATCATCGCGGGGTTTGAAAGGATAGAAAGCTAGTGAATATCATTGTACAAACACAAGGTTGCTTTCGAGAGCTGCATAACAAGGAGGTTACTATGGGTTACATCGTACGGTACTATTAATACTCGTAGAGCGGACCATGCATGAAGAGTTGCAAAGAGCTTGGGGTGGCTGCATGCAGACCCAGACCCAGACCTCGCCTTGATCGATTGAATTCTATTCGATCACCATCGACTTTGAGTTTCATTGCTGACGTCATGGCCTTTTTGGAGCTTTCCATAGGGACAACCTCTTTTGAGGTCGGTTGGAGGTCGATTTATCGTGATTCAACGAGTCGTAATCGAAACCACAACTGAGGAACAACATGGGGTTTCAAATAAAAGGCGATCAAAGAGAGAGACAAATGGTCGACACATTCCAATCAATTCATCCCAATTGAGAAAGACAACACACAACATCTTGACGCTGATATAACATCACCATGAACGCGCTGGATTTTTGATGGCGGAGGTAAATCCAATTCAAACACACACACTTAGGAAACCTTTTGTCTTCCATCAACATCCAAGTCGCCCATTATTCAGAAGATAAGATTCGTGTATTACAATAGATTTCTTTGTCCTCGTGGAGCGTGACGCCGCGATAATTCCCGTTCCATCTTCATTGATTTCTATAGAATACTGGCCCAGTTTCTGTTTACCGAAATGGAATGTTCCCAGCTTTTTGTTCGATAGGTTTCGGTGGGAAACAGTCGAACAGTTTTCAGAAGTTTTCTCGTATAGATTGTGCTCCGATTTCTTAACTCCTGTACTTTGAAACATCGGCTGCATTGTCTTCGCCGGCTGCGTAAGTTAAATCAAGCGATCACAATAGAACACCGGGGTCCAAAGCCGATTGATGTACGGGTAACAGGCATTGGACCCTACTTACCGTCTTCCTTTACTGTCGATCAAGGAAACAAACAACCCGAGTAAGTCTTATTTCCGCTGTCAGTGCATGCTTACAACTCAAAATACTTACAATCCATCAGTGACGTTCGAGACGATATTCAATGTATTCGTCATAGATCAAAGGATGTACAGTTGTTACGTCTTCCCCGGTTTGGTTCTAACCATACATTTCGAGCTGATCCATAAACTTCGATCCATCGTGATAGTTCACGTTTTTTCGTTTTTCTTCAGTGGGGTTGCTTGTTGGTCATTTTCTATTGTGATTCGACAACGCGCTTGTAGTTAAACCGTATGTGTGAATATCTTTGTTGTAGACTACTTGGCTTTGTAAAGTACGCTTGCGTTGTGGTGAGTAGACTCCCACAGTTTTTCTTCGAGAACCATATCTACTAACTCGCTCCAGAAACCCACCCATTCTGTCGGATGGCTTCACAACATCACTTATCGTGGTAGACCCCGACGACGGAGATCTTGCAACTTTGCAGTGTCGAGGTCGTACCTCGACTGAACATCCAAGAATCTTGCGTTATATTTCTTGCAGTTATTTTAGTTCGGCTGACGGCTGATTGCTTGATTTTCGTATTCCGTCGACGCCTTTCGACAGTTTAGACGCATTGCAAATGAGCAAGATTGTTTTTTCTTGTTTCGCTGTTCGATGTGGATCTTTCTTGTCATTGTCATTGTTTTACTGCCTCTGAGGAGTCATCGATTCTTCTTATACGGCTTGCTCGCATGATTCCCAGTCTACACGTGTCTGTCTTGGG